GGTGGGCTCTGCAGTTGGATGTGGCCTGTGGAGCTTTTGGAGATGAAGCAGGGGATGGCTTCATTCTCTCCTGACCCCATCCTTTTTGCTTTTATAGCTCTAACTCGTCTGATACAGGGTTTGAGAGTGCTCTGCTCTGTTCTGGGGTCGGCCTGTGCCCCTAGTTCCAGGCCTTAGTTTCTCAATTTTTAAAATAACTGCATAAGGGGCACTTGGGTGGCTCGAGGCTGAGCATCTTCCTTCAGCTCAGGTTGTGATCCCGGGGTCCTGGGAGCCTGCTTCTCCCTCTGCCTATTTCTCTGCTTCTCTGTGTGTGTGTCTCATGAATAAAAAACAACAATGTTTTTAAAATTTTTAAAATAATAAAAATAACTGCATAAGGGCAGCCTGGGTGGCTCAGCAGTTTAGCGCTTTCCTTCAGCCCAGGGCATGATCCTGGAGACCCAGGATCGAGTCCCGCTTCAGGCTCCCTGCATGGAGCCTGCTTCTCCCTCTGTGTCTCTGCCTCTTTCTGGATCTCTCATAAATAAAACCTTTTTTTTTTTTTTTTAAATAACTGCGTAAGACCAGGCAGATGTCCAACCTGGTTCTTGGAGAGCAAGGGAGCACAGCTACCTTGTCCCCTTGTCAGGAATTTACCAGCAGTCCAGATGAGGATGGCACACATGGCATTGGGCAGAGTACCAGGGGAAGCGCCAGCTCTGCCAGCTGTGCCGGTGTTTGTAAGGTTCGAGGGAGTGGTGAAGGCCTCCAGATTGGAAAGTCGAATGGACCCTCCCAGAGAAATCAGCCAGTGCAGACCCTTCGCAGCTTCCCTGGAGAGAGGCAGGGCAGAGAGGGTCCGGAACCCGTGGAGTAATAGATGGAGGGCATCCCTGATACAGGGACAGCCATCAAGAAGTCACATTCTTTGTTGCTGCTAGTGCCTAAGAGAAAAAAGTCAGAGATCAGAGTTTGTTGCTGCCCATGGAATGTTACCCACCATCCTCTCCATGCCCCCCAGTACTGTTTAGGCCCAACAGGGAAAGACCACCTGTAAGATTTCAGGTTTTTTTTAAGCCAGTTGTCTGCTCCAGGCTGGCAGGACGGGCCATTGCTGCCCGCACAGCACCACGCTTACGATTCTCCCTCAGTTCACTCTCTTACTTCCCCTTTAAACCTCGGCTCCTCCCTGTCACAGCCTCCTCCAGGGTGCCCAGCAACTTCTGGTTGCCTGTGAGGTGAACTTCACTGAGTGTGACCCCCGAAGTCTGCCTGGATACTGTCTCCTTTCCCACTGGAGTACATTGTGCTTGCCCACGGGTGAGTGGTGCCTGGGCCTACAGACCCAGCTCCTCCTGGGCGTTGCCAGTGCGGTAATGGTAATCACGTAGTTCTTGGTTGATCACAGCATGGGTCTAGGGGGTTTGCGTCCCACCTCCCTCACTCTGAGCCAGAGGCAAGCTACTTAATGTTCCTCTGCCGCTTTAGTTTCCTCGTATATAAAATGGGAATATTACAATCTCCTCATGGGGTTTTTGTGAGGTATAAATAAAATAATAATTTTCAATCCCTCTCAGTACAATTTCTGGCATTTAGTAAGCGCTTAATAAATTTTGGCTTTTTTATTTGTATTATCATCATTATTATCCCCTAAGGCCCATCTCTGGTAGCATCTTTTCTATTCCTTCAGGCAGCATTCTTACTCTTCCCCATCTGGGAGCTCCTCTGGGTTCTGTTCACTTGTTTTAGAAGGGATGGAAGGGATCCCTCCACTCCTTGAGATAGTCCTGGCTCTTCACTATTCAGTACCGCGGCCCACAGAGCCTTCCGGAAGTTACAAGGACTTTCATGGGCAGGGCTTGAACCAGCAGATGAGGACTCTCAGGGCATCCGATGTGCCCAGGAAGAAACAATAAGGAACCCTTGAGGCCTATGGCCCAGGACCTGGATTCTGTGAGACTTGTGCAGTCCCCACATCTCTTAATTACGTGGCATTTCAGTCAACAAACATTTACTTGTACTCATGTGCCCGCCGTGGGGCTCTTGTCCATAGACCGTATTGGTGGCATGAGCAGCTTGCCCTTGGGAAACTACGTCTTGCACAGGAGACAAGGACGTTTGCAGCTGTGCCTCTGTGTGGTCCGGCGCAGGGTGCTGGAGAGCACAGGGGAGCAGCCACCAGCGGTGGTGCTGGCAGGAGGGTCAGGAGAGGCTTCTGGTGAGTTAGGAGGTGGGGTGGTCCCGAGCAAGCAGAAGGTGCCGGAGAGGCCAAGGGAGTGAATAACGGTGCTGTGTGTGGGCAGGCAGCTCCTTATTTGGTGGATGGAGCAGCACGTGGGCTGGGGCTAGACCGAGGAGTCCCTGGTCAGCTTGCAAGGGGTTTGGTAGAGCTAAGTTATGCTGAGGGCAACTGAGATGTTGGAAATAGAAGTGGTCAGATTTGCCAAATTCTAGGCGCTAAGAGAATAGAATGAGGGATCTGGAGGCAGAAGGGCCATTCAGGTCAGCGGTGGACTCGTGGGAGAGATCATGAGGGCCTGGACCAGTGGTGGCAGTGGAGAGACTACAGAGAGACTGAGAACGAGGGGACAGATTGGAGGGGTCGAGGGGATGGTTGGAGAATGGCTCCCAGGTATCTGGTTTGGAGGCAGAGGAACAAGGAGTTCAATTCTAGAAGGTGGAATTTACAGATAGGGGATTTGGGCAAGCAGGGGCCAGGGACATCTGGGAGACATTTATATATGTATGTGCTTCTAGAAATCAAGGGAGGTGTGGGCTGGAGGTTCAGATTAGAGATGCCAGGCTGCTGCCTGCCCAACCATGCCGTCCTCTTTACAGAATCACCGAAGATTCAGCTGTGACCACGTTTGAGGCCCTGAAGGCTCGGGTCAGGGAGCTTGAACGGCAGCTATCCCGTGGGGACCGTTACAAATGCCTCATCTGTATGGTGAGAGAAAGGGAACCTGGGAGGCCTCTGGTCAGGCTTCAGTGCCCTCTGGGGGGTGGACAGGGCCTCTGCGCTGTGATCGGAGCGCTTTAGAGGGCGGGCCGGCCTCAGGGTGACCCCTTCTCTGCCCCCTCCTCCCTAGGACTCCTACTCAATGCCCCTCACGTCCATCCAGTGTTGGCATGTGCACTGCGAGGAGTGCTGGCTGCGGACCCTGGTGAGGTGGCATGGGGGTCGGGGAGTGGGTGGCTGTTTCCGGTGATGCTTGAGCCTGCTTGAGGGGAGGGAGATGCACGCAACCGGGGGGAGCACGAGCCTCGAACACAGTGGCAGGAAGCCAGGATAGTCACCCCCCCAGGTCCCTCCACTCTTTGCTCCCCCACCACGTTTATTAAATTCCCTCCCTCCGTGGGTTCACTGCCTGCCCACCCCCAAAGCCCACTCTCACACTAGTGGTGAGATCCCGGGTCAGGAGGAGGCTGAGTGTGGGTAAGCAGGACCGGGGCCTCGGCCCCTCCCCCTGCCATTACTAAGCTCCTTCTGCTCCTGCCCCTGTTCTTCGCTCCGGAGCAGCCATTAAAATGTCGCCCGGAGACAGCAATAAAAGGCCCGGACGTGGGCTCTGTGTCCTGATCAAAGGCCGCATGTAATCTCGTTAGGGCCGCTGCAGCCACAGCTGGACCCAGCCTTGTTCTCATTACCGGGGCTCCCGCTGTGGGGCTGGCCAGGCGGTTTGATCCTGGCGTCCCCCCAGCACAGGAGCGTGCCTGCCTGCTTGCAGAGGCCACCCGTGCATCCCCGGCCTGGGCCAGCAGGACCAAGGTGCCAGTGCACAACTGGTGCGGGGAGACGTGGCTGCAGGCCCGGTGCTCTCCCGAGCAAACATGCGGCAGTGTGTCTAACCAGAGCGCCCTGTTCTCCCTGCAGGGCGCCAAGAAGCTCTGCCCTCAGTGCAACACCATCACAGCGCCCGGAGACCTGCGGAGAATCTACTTGTGAGCTAGCCACCCCTGGCAGGCCTTGCATCGAGCAGCCCCGCCTGCCCGCCTCTGTGACCTGACCCTCCCCCTTGTACATACTTGCACACAGGTTCCCCATGTACATACATGCGCGCACACATGCCCACACGTGCGTGCACGCACACACAACACACACACACAGGACTCTGGAGCCAGAGTGGAGGCTGAGGCCCAGGCCCTGCCTGCTAGCTGCCACTAAGACTGGGGACCATACCTATTCCAGGTCCTGTTCCCAGGGTGGGGCAGGGAGGTGGAGGTGAGGGGGAGTAGTGGGGCAAGGCTCCTGAGATCCAGCCCCCAGACTGACAGACGGACAGACAGACATGCAAACACCAGACTGAAGCACATGTAATATAGACTGTGTATGTTTACAATGTTGTGTATAAATGGGACAACTCCTTGCTCTCCATCCCCTCCCCTTTGGTTGTATGATTTTCTTCTTTTTTTAAGAACACCTGGAAGCAGTGCCCCCTTCAGGGCTGGCTGGGGGCTCGGCCCATCCACCTCTCAGGGTGCCTGCCTCTCCCCCATGGTATCCCTCTCCCTCTTCCATGTGCTCGGTGTTCAGTGGTGTATATTTCTTCCCCCCAGACATGGGGCACATGCCCCAAGAGACACGATCCTCTCCTTAGTCTTAGCTCCTGGGGCTCTTTATAAGGAGTTGGGGGAGTGGGGAGACACAGGAAACGGGAACCGAGCTGAAGCAGGGGCTGAGATGGAGCCTGGAAGAGTGTGCTCCTGGCTGCCCAGCCTTCTGCCAAGAACCATTCCTGGGATTAGGACTGCTGTTCCCAGGGAAAGTGGTCTCCCCCGCCCCTCCCGTGGGCCCCACGGTGTGATGCTGTGTCTGTATATTCTATACAAAGGTACTTGTCCTTTCCCTTTGTAAACTACATTTGACATGGATTAAACCGATATAAACAGCTGCTGCCTCTGTGTGTGTGTGTGTGCAGGGAGGGGTCTGTGATGGGGCCGCGTGGACAGGGGGCAGGTGAGGGGTTAATTCCTGGCAGCAGTGTGGGGGAGAGGACTAGAATGTGGGTGTGCAAAGCAGTGTGGGGTTGGTCAGTTCAGGGGGGCCCTGGAGCACTCTGTCAGGAGTGGGGGTGGGGCCGGGGACCTGGACTCCTGACTATTGATGGGTAGGGGCTCCAGGTTAATTCCTTATCGATGCAGAATCGTCAGCTCATTAATCACAGAAGAGGTCAGAGCTTGGGGGTACATAGCTCTATGCCCCAATCTAGAGCAGCAGCAGCTATGAGCTGGGCAGACACAAACCCCAAGCCTCTAGACCCTGCTAGTCCCCTCAAACGAGCCACGGACCAAAACGAGCATCTCAGCCCCCAAGGCTTTCTTGCTAGTGACCAACCAACACTCCAGTAGAGCTACTGCCTAGATCCTCAGCTGGCTATGGTAGGAACCCCCAGTTGTCCAGTTGGACTCCCGTCGGGAACAGAAGCTGGGCAGCCAGCACTGGAGATGGCACCTTATCAAACTGTCATCCCTGAGGCTGCCCGCTGCCAGTGAGTCATCTGCATCCTGAGTGGGTGCTCAAAGCTGCAGGTTGAGTCCTGTCCTTTACACATTCTCACACCCCAGGCCCAAACTCCATCTTCCCAGGACCCCCCACCTTAGACACCCCGACATCTGGGGTGCCTGTGGTACATTCTACAGAGCAGGGTCCAGTTGGCAGCTCTAGCCTCCAGCACCCAGGTGACAAGTCACCCTGCTTGGAGCCCAGCAAAGGCCCTGCATGGCCCCGGGCCCAGCCTGATGGTACCAAACATCCTGAATACAACAATCCTGGGGCCTAAGATTCTAGGGAATGTCCATGACCTGTCACAGCAGAGCAGCCCCGTGGGGTTAAGGTTTTGGAAGGTAAGTAAGTAATGCCCAGTTCCCAGTGGGCTGGCTCCCCTCAGGTCTCGACTCTCCCCTCGCCTTGCCGTGGGCTCTGTAGGTCCCGATGGCTGGTTACTCCCCCCCCCCGGGGGGGCACATGCTCTCTAAGAGGGGACTTAACCCTGAGCCAGGTGGTGAAGCCCACCCTGCTACGGGATCCTGAGGCCTGGTCTCATGGCCCAGGCAGCACTGCCACCTGTTGGCCATGGCTAGGAATGCAGCCACACAGCTTGGGGATCAGTGGCAGCGGGGCCCCGAGGGCCCAGAGGCCTGACAAGATGCACACCGAGCTTGGCTCTGGAGGTAAAGGGTGCGTCAGCCCGGAGAACGGAGAACATAAGGGTCAGCTCCCTCACTGCCTGCCAAACTTCCAAAGCCCGTCCCCGCCCCGCCAAGTCCCCGAATGCCACAGTAAGCTCAGTCAGCAGACCTCGATTACCTACTGCGCACCAGCATTGTGCAGCAGGGACTGACAGCCCGAGCAACGATGGAGAACCCCAGAAGCCACCCCTCCTGCCTGGAGATGATCCAAGTGGGTCTCTCGAGGAGATGGGAGTTCATTGTTTTAGCCAAATGGCTCCTGGCCCCGGTTCTGGTCTTCGGGGCTACTCACTTAGCTCGCCCCAGCTCCTCCTGGCACTGAGGGCTTCCTACCTGCCTGTGAAACATCCTGCAGCTTTCCTGGACCAGTGGCTTCCTGGCAAAGCATGGGGGGGCAGGCAGGCCTGCCTCCTCTGCATCCTCAGCTTCGCATCTGACTCCTACCTCAGACTCTCCGGCAGGGAGGAGAGAGCATCATCTCCATGTGAACTACTAAGTGGGGTCTGTGCGGAGCTGCTTCATGCTGCAGGGCCTTGCTCTCCTGGGGCTTCAGGGCAGAAGCAGCGCCCCGCACCAGCCTGACCCTATTGTCTGGCACCCCCCCTCAGAGCTCACCGTCCTTCCAAGAAGCTAGAGACCAACCCCGAGGCTCATCAACCCCACTGTCCCCACTTGGTTGACCCTACAGAGCCTGGAGCCACAGGAACCAGCAGCCTGCCGCGCACCTGCCTACACGCAGCCACTGCGAGACTCCTACGTTAACCCGTCCAGGTGCTCCCGCCCTGGGATGCCGGGACAACCAGTCCCCGCGGCAGAGCTTCAGTGGGAATACTCTACTTGCGGGACGACAGTCCCCAAGGGCTACAGGGGAGTTGAAGCAAAAGAGGACCCCACCCATGGATACAGTTTGCGGGAGGTGTTGGGCATTTATTTCTGGAACAGAGGCGGGGTGGGTGGGTGGGGCAGGGGACTCAGCAGTGGACGCAGCTGCGCATGAAGTTGACGCAGAGGCTCGTGTAGTAAGTGGGGTAGTCGCGGAGGTGGCTGACATGTGCAGATGACACGAAGTCCACTGAGCGCACCAGGACCCGGTGTGCCAGGCGGGCCTCCACCATGCGCTCCACGTCCCTAGCCAGCACCACCTCGTCGGCCCTCGAGTAGAGGTAGAGCTCGGGCCAGCGAGAGGCTGCGTCGAGCAGCCGGTCATAGAAGTGGGTGTGGAAGAGGGCCGTGAGGGGCGCAAGCAGGCCGTGGAACAGGACTGCCACCAGGGCGAAGGCCACCAGGAGCAGCAGGCGCAGCGCGGCAGGCCGGCGCTCCAGGACAGTGGCCAGCGCCCGCAGGGCCCCCACCAGGTTGCTGTCGCCGGGCCCGCTGTCAAAGATGGTGCCCACGACGCGCAGGCGACAGAAGCGCCGGTGGGTCTGCAGCAGCTCCAGCACGTACCGGTACAGCATGACCCCCGCATTGCTGAAGACATGGAAGAGCAGGGGCTCCTTCTCCACCTCGTGATCAAAGAGCAGCTCAAGTAGCTTCTGGGCCAAAACACGAAGTGAAGGGATGCCCAGGGACTCGGAGAAGAAGACCATGTGCCACGGGGCTGTGTATCGGATGACGATGCAGCCCTGGGGAGAGGAGAGAGGCCTGCTGGGTCGGGGGGGGGGGGGGCGGGTCCCTGGCGGGTCCCGGGCAGGGGGGGGGGGCCGGGGGCCCACGGGCCTGGCACGCTCCAGGCACCGGCTCCTCGCCCAGACACGGGCCCTCTCGACTGGAGGCGGCACTCAAGGCCCACGTCCAGAATGATCATTCCAGGCCGGCCCGTGGCCCGTGCCCCGTCTCCTTCTCACGGTCCCCTGCGCCTCATCTGCTGCACGCCACTGGCGTACTCAGGCCTCCCTCTTGGCCACACTGGCTGCAGTGACCCCCTCTGCACCGGCCCCCCGCCTGGCACCGGGGGCACCCCAGGGAACCCCACGCCGGACACGGCCTGCATGCCCCAGCCCTGCCAGAGGCCACTTGTGTGCCGGGCCCGCATCACAATAGCCAGTGGCCTCAGCTGCCCCCCTGCAGACCCCCAGGGTCCCTCCTGGGCCTGGCAGGGCCTAGGGCCTGGCACCCAACCCGGGCTCCCTCCTCCCACTCGCCCTGAAATTCCAAACATGGTAACACTGTTGTTCCTTAAATTCTACAACCTGAGCCAATCTCTCCGGTTCCCGGACCCCTCTGTGCCCGGGTCAAGCACACCTCCAAGTCTCCACATACATCCTTCTCTAGGTCACTTAGGAACAGTGGCCTAGGGGCAGCCCCGGTGGCACAGCAGTTTAGCGCCGCCTGCAGCCCAGGGCGTGATCCTGTAGACCCTGGATTGAGTCCCACGTCAGGCTCTCTGCATGGAGCCCGCTTCTCCCTCTGCCTGTGTCTCTGCCTCTCTCTCCCTCTCTATCTCTATGAATAAATAAATAAAATCTTAAAAAAAAAAAAAAAGGAACGGCGGCCTACGCCATGTGCCTGGGGCTCATCCCCCTCACTGTCCCACTCGGGAGACCAAGGGCCCGTTGCCAGCAGGGCCTGAGGTCAGCCCAGGGTGTCACACGGGTTGGGGTTCTCTTCCTGGCACCACTTATCAATTTCCTGGGCCTGTGCGTCCATCTGTAAACTGGGATGACATCCATCTCACAGGGTTAAGGTGGAGACTGAATGACAAAATGCACTTCAGGGGTCCCATGCCGCCCTGGCCCAGTAACCCGACGGGACGGCCAGTGGTGCAAGGAGTAATAAGGAGCACGGCGCTTGGCCGCAGCACTTAAGGACGAACGACCCAGAGCTAAACAAGTCGCCGAGCTAACCCTGCCACCAGCCCCCTAGCCTCACCCCTCCCACGGACTCCAGGGTGACATCTGCCCCCAACCCCTCCTGGCACTATTCTCACCAAGGCCCTGGCCTGCCCTCGTCCTCCGACTCTGCAGACGGGGTCACTGATGCCACCTGGCCCCTCAGGCTCTGGGACACTCCATAAAGTGCTCTGTTCTAACTTCCCGACCACCCCAACTGACACACGGCATCTCCCACAAATGCACACACACTCCCGCCTCACACCATCGCACACATGCAACTCCCAGAACTAAACCCACGTCGCATCCCACAGGTGCAGACACTCATGTGCATTCACGCGCACCCCCCACTCACTCATGTGCACCCAGCACACCATCTGTGAATACAGATGCACATGCACACATACCATGGGCAGGTGCACGGTTACATGCTGCACACCCCCCAACACACACACACATACACACACACACACTCCTCCCCTGGAGCATTCACATGCAGAAATAAACCACAATTCCTGGGAATACGTCATCTATGGGGACACACATGGTGTGTGCCCTCTAGTTCCGCGTCATCTGAGGGTGCACACACGGGACTCGTCCTACAAGGGCCCAACGCTCCCGAGGGAGGGCACACATGTGCCAAGGCTCCCTGTGCCCATGGGTCTGGGCCCCACTTCGAGGCTTCCCAGGTGCCTGGCATCCCTGAGACCACCTCCCCAGGCAGATGCTCCCTGCGTGTCAGATCCCAGGTTCCCCCCAAGCATTTCCCCATCTCTGGGCACACTGGGCCCGGGGCCCTGTGTGGCTCCTTGTCTCCCTCTCCTGTATTTTCAGTCTCCTCCTCTCTCTAGATTCCTGTCAAATCAATCTCATTAAAGAAAAGTGGCAGGAGCAGCAACAGCAGCCACCCCTTCGGGGCACCTGGGTGGCACAGTCGGTTACGCATCTAACTCTTGGTTTGGGCTCAGGTTGTGACCTCAGGGTCCAGAGACGGAGCCCCACATCCAGCTCTGTGCTCAGCGGGGAGTCCGTTTAAGAGTCTCTCTCCCTCTCCCTGTGCCCCTTCCGCATCCCCTCTCCCACATGTGCTCTCTCTTAAATAAATAACATTACTATTTTTTTAAAGCCTCTATTATACTGTGTTCCCCTCTAACTCTCTCCTACCCTCTCTCCACCTTCCTGGACAATCTTTGACACCTGCCCTCTCCACCTCGTCCCCTCCCACTGACTCCCCCGCCCTGCTCTCACCAAGGTCACCCCTCAATCCCCCAAATGGCCAAATCCCATGACACCTCCTCATGCCCACTGTACTCTCCTTCCAGCAGCGCTGGCGACCACTCACTCCTGACTATACTCTCTGGTAGCCCCACGTTGGGTATAGAGATTACTTAAAAATAGAATCTTCAAAAAAATAAAAAATAGGGGATCCCTGGGTGGCGCAGCGGTTTGGCGCCTGCCTTTGGCCCAGGGCGCGATCCTGGAGACCCGGGATCGAATCCCATATCGGGCTCCCGGTGCATGGAGCCTGCTTCTCCATCTGCCTATGTCTCTGCCTCTCTCTCTTTCTCTATCATAAATAAATAAAAAATTTTAAAAAAATTTAAAAAAAAATAAAAAATAAAAAATAGGGATGCCTGAGTGCCTCAGTGGTTGAGTGCCTGCCTTCAGCCCAGGGCGTGATCCCGGAGTCAATAGATCGAGTCCCCCATCGGGCTCCCTGCATGGAGCCTGCTTCTCCCTCTCCCTGTGTCTCTGCCTCTATGTGTCTCTCATGAATAAATAAATAAAATCTTTTTAAAAAAATAAAAATAAAAGTGCCTTAAGGAACAAAGTAACTAGATGCAGTGGGTGATCCTGGATTGGATCCCAGTTTGGGACATTCCGGGGACCGTGAGAGAATCTGAATATGGACTGGGGACTCAAGGAGATAAAAACAGATTAACATGGCAAGGTGGAGATCATGATCTGAAAAAAGTAAATAAATAAAGCAGGATACAAAAAAAGTATATAAAATAGATCTCGTCCTGGGATCGAGTCTCACGACGGGCTCCCTGCGTGAAGCCTGCTTCTCCCTCTGCCTGTGTCTCTGCCTCTCTCTCTGTGTGTCTCTCGTGAGTAAATAATCTTTAAAAAAAATTAAAGTAAAATAAAAAATAATAAAATAAAATAAAGTAAAATAAAATAATAAAATAAAATAAAATAAAATAAAATAAAATAAAATAAAATAAAATAGATCTCGTTTAGTGAAAGAAAAGCTACACCCGGAGAAAAGCTGGAAGGATGGGCACTGCTAGTCAACACAGGTGGTAGATAGGGCATTTTTACTTTCTTTTTAAAAATCAAGTATCCAGACTTTGGGGTTGGAAATGCTTTTCTCCACACCCATCCTGTCCTGACCCCCTTCCTTTCCCAGAGGACCCTGGGATCTAACCCCACACTCCCACATCAACCCCCCCCGGGGCCTTCCCCAGCCTCTGCTCTGCACACTTGCCCTTCCCCGCAGTCTCTGCTCTGGTCACGCTCACCTATTCCTAGTCTCCCCCTGCCCTCAGGGATCTTAGTCCACTGAGAAGCCAGACAACCAACCTGGCCCAGTGAGTGGAATTGGGAAGTGGCTGAAACTACCTGCAGAGCAAGGCCATTCGTAAAGGGTGTAAAGGGCGACGCCAGAGGACTGGCCCTCTGGTCGGGGGAAGGCCTCGGGCTCAGAACAACATCCCCACCCCAGCCCCGAGCCCCTCTCCTATCCTGGGGCCCCCACACTCGACAGGCCCACTGCAAACGGCGGTCAGGGGAGGGAGGCCAAGGCAAGGGGCTGGGGGCACCGGCACTGGCCTTTCTCCCAGGAGATTCCCATCCCCCTCAGCCCAGGGCTTCGGGGTGCCAACCAGGGCTGTCGGCACTGGCTCTCCCTGCTTTGGGAGGTCTGGGCTGAGGAGGGCAGGCCCTGGCCAAGGGCCAAAGATGTGAAAGGGGCCTCTAAACTATAACCAGGCCCCCCTCAGGCTCTCCCGTTACCACAAGCTCTGCATCCCGAACTCTTGGGGTGGCCTAAGAAGAAGCCAGAAAATGTCCAGCCTGAGTCTCTTTTCCAAGAGGCCCTCCTACGGGAGGCATGTGACGGTGCCAGGTCGACCCTAAGACACCTACCTGGTCAGCAAGGGGCCATCCCGGGAGTACCCGCTCCACCCAGCACCCTGGGCCCAGGCTCTGGCTCAGCAAGAGCTTGAGATGTGGGCCGACTCCACAGCTGGGAGCACACCGGGGCTGGGCTGCCCACTGTGGGGCTGGAGGAAGCGGGTTGAAGGAGATAGAGCGGCCGCAGAGCTGGCAGCGAAGACGGGATAACCCTGCCGAAGTCCCCATGGCCCCGGCCATTCTGGGTGCCAGGCCTGCCGCGCTGGCAGTCGCTGCAGCCTGGGTGGGGGGGGCTGAGCCCCCCAAGGAGCAGCCCCCAGGCAGCGCCCCTGCCCCCAAGCCTGCGGTACTCACCCTCTTGCGGTAGATGGCGCTGTACTTGGCAAGATTCTTGTCGGTACAGCCACCCCAGCCCAAAAGAATCACCAAAGGCTGCCGGGCCCCCACCTCCTTCTGGCCTGGGTGGGAGCTGCTCTCTGAAACACAGACATGGTGGGACTGTGAGCACCAGAGTGGCCACGCGGGGTGTGGGGCGAGGCCCACTGGCCAGCCCAGAGCCCACCTAGCTGTAGACCGGGAGCCAACAGGTGCCAGACACAGGCGCTCAGGTCCCCATGGGGCATCCTCCTCTAATCCTGCCTCAAGTGGCATTTAGGCCTCTCGGGAGGTGATGCGGGGTCACTGGAAAAACCCACATGAGGGCGCCTTTCTTTAGTAACTCAAAGATGTAGCCCTGGTGAGAGAAGTGAGAACCTTCTCCATGCAATTTCACCTTCTAATCCAGGGGTCAGCCAACTACAAGCCATGGGCCGAATCCAGCCCACGGTCTGGTTTTGTAGGAACCACACGCTAAAAATAATAGAGGTTTTTATATTTTTAAATGGTCAAAAAAAATCAAAGGAAATAACATTTTGTGACACATGAAAGTTATATAAAATTTCAGTCTGATTGTCCACAATAAAGTTTTATTGGAACACGGCCATGCTCATTCATCTACTCGCTGTGTGTAGCTGCTTTCATGCTAAAACAGCAGAGCTGAGTAGTGGCAACGGAGACCCTGTGGTTCGCAAAGCCTAAAATACTTAGGGCCCTTTACAGAAAAAGCCTGCCAGCCCTATTCTAATTTCACAAGCAGTTGGAAGGAGAGGACCTTAAATGGAGAAAGGGATAGGTCAGTGGCATCAGGGAGGAAGAGCACGCAGCCCCTGAGGGTCCATACCAACCTGCCCACCCCATCCTGTAATCCTCGCCGATGTGTACTGAGCCTTCACACTCAGAACATCACTAGCAGGTATATTACTGCAGATGATGAAACTAGGGCACAGAGAGGTTAGGGTAGTGGCCTAAGGCACACAGGAAGCGTACGGCTGGGAATCTGGCCGCTGCCCCCCGTCCGAACTAAGCCACTTGAGGACCTTCTGTGCCACCAGCACCGTCCCCAACTTAGAAGCACGTCTCCTTCATGAGGTGCACAGGCACAAGCCAGCCGCCTTCTCTGTAGCTAGTTTCCCAGAGGCCTCCCTGCAACCTTGTTAGCCAGACCTCACTCATTTCCCGCGCCGAGTAGGGACCCAGCCGCTCCGGGGGACTTCTGTGCAGGGTCTGTCCATTACTAGTTCTCTGCCCTCCCGAAAGGGCTGGGCTGTGCCCTTCCAAGTATCAAGCCACTTGGCCATGCTCAGCTGCCACCTCGAAATTTATGGATGCCAGTGGTGACCTGGCAACAGTAAATTTCAAGGCTAGTTAAGAGGATGGTAAATATAAATCACTAACCTTTGGACAAAAGGAAGACAACAATTTCCTGTGGAAATTAATGTGATTGAAAAGTTCACTGTTCCTGCTCTCCAGCAGTGGTGACTCTGGCCTTCAGAGATTAACTGCCCGCCCACACGGGGATCCCAGGCTGGACTGCAACCCGGCCTGGAGCAGAGGCTGCCAAGCGCCTCAGGCCCTGCTGTCGCCTGCCAGCCCTCCCAGAATCCCCGGATGCTGGCCTGGCCCCTGGTGAGGGAGACGGGCCCACAAATCTCACTCAGGCCACTCCAAATAATCGCACTGCCTTTCCAGGCCCAGTGTCCCCATCGGGTGTCCCCCTCTGCTGCTAGGGCAGCTCTCCAACTGCCCTGGCCCTTCTGGCAGAGAGGCCACATCTGTGCCTCCCTGGAACCCTAGACGTATATCACTGGGGGTGACCACCCATGAAGCTCAGGCCTCAACAGCCTCCTACCAATCAACAGCCACCCATTTGGATCTGCCTTGGAATCCCTGAGATCCTGGAACTAGATTCCTGAGACCTGCCCCAGGGAGGCTCCCTCACCTCTGTGCAGCCGCCTGAGCACAGGCTCCCCTCCCCTAAAGTGGTCTGCAGTGGTCCCCCGTGCCACCACCAAGACACAGCAAACGGCCTCGGCATTTATCTCACATACACAGAAGGCAGCCAAGGGACGTCACACCCCCTGGTGGCCCCCAAAGTTAAGGCCAGCCCCCACCAGCAGTGATGGTGCATTTTGGGTTGGGAAAGGTTCCAACAGCTTCTGCTGGGCCTGACCTGCCCCTCTCCCACAGCTGGACTTGGAACCCCATTCCGCTCCACCGGGTCTTACGGGAACACTTGGCGTCACCGACTCAGGTAGGCATTTCCATGAAGAAACTCTAACAATATAGACATCCTGGGGCATCCAGGTGGCTCAGTCGGTTAAGCGTCTGCCTTCGGCTCGGGGCTTGATCCCAGGGTCTAGGGTCATGATCCCTGGAACCTGGGATCAAGCCCCACATCCAGTTCCCTGTTCAGCGGGGAGTCTGCTTCTCCCTCTCACTCTCCCTTTCTCTCTCCCTCTCTCTCAAGTAAATCAATAAAATCTAAAAAAAATTAAAAAATAAAAAATATATATAGACACCCTGAACACACTGCCTCTCTCTCAGACCCCAACCTCTCCGTACTGCCCCTCACGGGAGGGGATTGGTCCCTCCCTCCAGCTAGGCACTCGAGGCTTCCCCTGAGCCACAAGTGTTCTTTCTGTCTGTGGGCATCTCCTATTCCCCCAACAATCTCCTCCCGGGGCCCCACTCTCAATACTGGTTCCTAACTTAAGCCTTTATCCTGACTTCCTCCCACCGGAGCCATGCTGCCCCTTCTGATTCTGTATTTCAAGGGCTACAACCCAGAAAAATCCGAGGTGCTCTGGCTGAGATTGCCAGAGACCAGGAAAGGCCTCCCAAAGGAAGACACATCTGCTGCGCTGGCCCAGAGGCCCAGTAGGAACATGCCAGGCGGAGAGAGGTCATGAGCGGGGGCAGAAGGCCATGGAGATGCTACAGTCGGTCTGAGGCCCAGCAAACAGTCCTGGGGGGCTAGAACCTGGGTGAGGAGGAGCAGTGGTTGGGAGAGCTGCCCAGAGTGGGCCTGGGGCCCGATCCCACAAGGCCTTTCAGGCCATGCATAGGAGTTGGGATTTTATTTCACAGGAGTAGAGAGCAAATGATGATTCTGGAATTGGGGGAAGCGGCAGGATCCCATCTGTACTGATTAATGACTTGCACGATTAATATGTGTCTCTGCCTTTAGCTCCGTGAAGGCAGGCACCGAGTGTGGCATGTTTATCACCGCATCCTCAGTGCCTAGCCCCGCAGCTGGCCCATTCAGGCACTCAGGAGAAACGTGCTGGAATGAACATGTGGCTGCAAAGTGAAGGATGGATCCAAGGAGAAAGAGCCAGCATTCTCCTTGTTACCCACTGCCCTTTCCAAAGTAATAAAAGTGATTGTTATGGCTATTGTTATTTATTGCCACCTCCAGATCATGATTCCTCCATCCTTTTATAAAAGCCCCTGTTCCCTTTATGCTTATTCCACGGCCATATCACCCACTTCCCTCCTGTGGCTGACATCTCAGGGCCTCTGGCTGCTGTCCCTTAGGGACAAGACTCAGGCACTGGCTCCATCTCTCATTTGTACTCTAAGACTTCCCATGACCCAGTGCAGGCAATCAAATCCACCTCCTAAGCCATCACAGACAGGTTCCAGCCCATCTGAAATCCACATCTCCGTCCAGCTCTTACCTCCCCCTCTTTCCCATCACCAAGAAAAACAATAATGGTACCAGGAAAAAGAGCATTATGTGTCAAGCAAGCACTGTTCTATGCACTTTATAGATCAACTCATTTATTTTTATTTTTATTTTTTTATATATCAACTCATTTAATCTTTACAACAATCCCATGAAAAATGTACTGTCATTATTCTCATTTTACCAATGAACAACCAAGTCACAGAGATAATCGATAACTGGCTCAAGGTCACACAACTAATAAGCAGTGAAAGTGGAATCCAAACCCAAGTGGTCTAGAGACCACTGTAACCACTGTCCCAGCTGGCGCCTTGGGTAACAAAACCCAAGCCCACAGTCTGAACCACATCTCTATCACCTCAGTTCCAAACGAGTACACATAGCTACCTTTGCACGTCAACAGATCCAACTCTGACCTCTTTCACCTCCTCCTCCTCAGGGACCTGTCACCCCAGCCAGAGCCCCAACATATGTTACGTCATTTGGCTCTGCAACCATCCTAGGAGTTAGTCACTATTGTTCCCATTTTAAAGACAAGAAAACTAAAACAGAGAGAGTAAGTCCCTCTCCCCAAGAACACGCAGCCAGAGCCGGCTTCCATCTCTCTGGACCACCATGCCACCCCACTCCCACCCCCAAGACTTCACACGTGCTCCTCCCTCCCTGGCCCAGGATGCTGCTGCTCCACATTTATGATTGGCTAATGCCCATTCCACCTACTGAGTCAGCTCACTCTTCATTTCCAGGAAGCCTCGCCTGATGCCTTCCTCAACCCCTTCTCATCTCCCACCCCAATCACCAGACTGGGGTAGATGCCCCTCTGTACTGTCACAGCACCCATCATCACCATGCCACTGCGCTTATCACACTGCCAAGCAGTGTCCATGTGGAACAGGTAGGAGGCTGCTCTAACATGCACGGTGAGAGATGGCAAAGGTCTGACCCAGAACAGTGGAAAACAGGTAGGCAGGTAGAGGGAAAGGACAGGGACAAGAGTAATTTTGGAACATATATCAAAAGTCTCAAAAATATGCAATCTTTGACATAGCAATTCCACTTCTGAGAAAGAAAAATGTTTAATCACATGGTAATGTTTGATAATACATTAAGCAAATTAGAGACATAACTATAAGAGCTAAAACCATAAAACTCTTAAAAGAAAACACAGGAGTAAACCCTTGTGGCCTTGCATTAAGCAGTGGTTTCTTGGATGTGACCAAAAGTGCAAGGAATAAAAGAAAAAAAAAGGATAAATTGGGACTTCATCAAAAAAACTTTTACGGGACTTCATCAAAATTAAAAACATTTGTACTTCAGAGGACAGCATCAAAAAAATGAAAATAACAACCTGCAGAACAGGAGGAAATATCTGCAAATCACATATCTGATAGGGGGCTTGTATCTGACGCA